TCACTTTTAATTTAAGCCTATTTAAACTTTGGGGACCTTTCCATTGCTAATTTGTTATGGTGATATTAATGAATAGTTCTGCTTTACAAAAGTAAGAACGCTGCTTTCTTTTCAAAGAAGATGAATTAGCATGGAGGGAATGAGACTAGAAAAACAATCTGAGAAGTGGTCAAAGGCAGCTGGGGGTCACCTGGGCATTTAGGATCAGGACAGAGACATGGTGCAGACAGCTTATCTGTGTCCTGTAGAGCAGCTGTTGCTAAAGTGGCCACAAACTTTGTCCCCGGGTCCACTGATAATTCTAGGAACACACTTCATGAAATGGGACCATGTACAATAGTCTGATCAAAATGTGCTATAAAATGCTCAAAACTTAAAAAGTGGTTCTTTTCAATTATTTTGTGTATTCTCATGTTTTGTTTCCCCCCATTTAATATTAATAGCTGCCAAGAGCAGGACGTAGAATAAGAATAAGGAACTGAGCAAGCATGTGGTGCAATGGAAGACTTAGCTAGAACTGAAGCCACAAGGATAAATTTCCCTAAAATGACCTTAAAGGACTCCATTCGAGCAGCCAATCTATATGAGTTAGTTTCAAAGGTGTCCCCTCTCTTACTCCAAGCGAAAGGTGTATTTTAGTTGCTTTGACTAACTCTTTTCTTTGCAGGCATATCAACACCAATGAGCTTGCCATAGAAATAAAAAAAAATTAAAAAAAAGAAATAATTAATTGATGATGAATGAGAAGTCTACAACTAACCCAATAAACTATTTTTTTTTTTAGAGTTACTATGTGCCAGGATGATTTTTATTTTTATTTTTTAAATAGTATTACTATAGTATCCTTTGTTCTCTTTTCTAACAAGTTTTCATGGAAAGGAAATACTGAAAAAATAGGCTTTTATTGCTGAATTTATGCTTTTATGAATTCAACTCTTTCCATGCTAGGCGTGGGAAGTGAAGACCGAAGAGAGAATAGGTTTTGTGATTTTATCATTTTTCATGACTATGCTTCCAAGGTCATGTGTATTTATATTCTTATGGGGTCTCCTTCTTACTTCCAAGTATCTGGTTAGCCCAGAGGAATATTGTACTAGTTGCAGATAAAGAAAACATGAAGGATTTGGATAGAGCCTCCCAGCCATCTCCTGGTGGGCACTGCAGTTATCAACAGATATTTATGGAGTCCCTGGCCTGCACACTCTATCAGCATAGTAAACCTTGAACATTGACGTCTTCCCCATGCTTTAAAGAATTTAATGGACACTTGGCTTATCCACTCTCGCCAAGAGTCGGATCTCAAGAAATTGAGAGTATGAGGCTACCCAGGTTCTACAACACACCCCCAGGTACAGGAAAGGGTGAGGATTCAATTATAGAAAAATCACACTTGTGATTTAAACCTTCATTGAGAATATCATGCTTTGGAACTTATTGTTTCAGAATCCCAACTGCAAACAGGTCTGGATTATGACCACAATGAATAAGATTATGCCCACAGATGCAGTACACAGGCTTTGGAGGCTTTGGAGGTAAGTTGGCACAGGTGTTGCTGCCTTACAATTGTTCTTGCTGGGAAGCAAGACTGTGACCTGCTCTTTGGTGGGACTACCCCAGGTGGAGGCTGAGAAAAGCTCACAATATTCTAAAGGTGTACAAGTCCCAGGCAGAGCAGTTCTCCTACTAGGAATCAGGAGGACTCTCCAACCAGGATGCACTTTCTGGAATGCATACTGCTGATCTCACTGGAGAACCTACTACATTTCTTCCAGCAGCATCTTAAACATGCTACTCTAGCTATTCCTAATGAGCTGTCACACATGAAACACTCTTCACAGACTATCACTTACAGAGGAGAATTCTTACTAGGACAGCTTTGAAGCTTTGTTGGTAAGTCCCAGCCATTGGTTAAAGCATTAAACAGACCCAGCATCTATTGGCAGCTATAGAAGTGACATGTGGATCATTGAAACACACTTTGGTTTGTTGTCCTGCCAGTCTGACTGCCTGTGTGTAGCAAAGCCTGGATATTTGGGCAAAGAATACTAAATACTGATGTTTTTTAATACCCAAGTTGCAGAAATTGCATTCTTCCAACCATGCTCCTAAAGCTGACTTTAGTGGAGGTGTTGTTGCTCAATGGAGGCCAAGCCTGCATTTTTCTGAGAGCATAGGTACAGATTTGAGAAGATGTTTGGTTAGCTCCACCCATGGCTGCTATTAGGAGAGAAGTTTTATACAGATCATGAAGGGCCATACCTTTAGGGACTTAAAGTAAGAGTCATGCTCCCATAGTCATGCTGCCCCTGGGACCAGGGATCTGGCTGAGTAGGAAGCAAGATGAACGTGGATGGTCCATGCTCTATAGATGGGGGTCCATGGTGAACAGATGGTTCTATGACCTATAGATGGAGATTCCATGCACTATTGACGAGGAGTTCATGATGTGCAGACAGGCAGATGCACAGGCAGAGTTCCTGGGGTGGCGGGGTTTAGGCAGCATTTACAGTGATTCTTGAAATCTTTTCTTTTGGTTTTTTTCCCCCTGAATCCAGACTCCATTGGGACAAGGTTTTAATTCAAACTGCTTGTGATTCCCTGTCCTGAGACCCATGGTCATAGCTGGCCCCCACCCAGTTGAGAGGTGTACATCTCAAGGGGGCTGAGAGGGAGGATAACGAGCCCCCCAGAATGGCGGCATGCCATGGTGTGATGAATGGCCCGCAACCCTCACGCTGCTCTGCGCCCTTCATCATCCAGTCGGAGTGGTTAGCAGACTGTCAGAGAAAAATAATTTAGCAGCCGTGGCTTTAACTGATGTGCTGCATTCTGGGGTCAAATGACTATTACAAAGTGGTAGCGCTGCCTGGTTTCTCCATCGTGAGAGCTCAGGGCTGACAACATGAAAGAAGGAGGCATCACACCCAGAATTCACTGACATCCTTCAATTTCTCAGGGTGGGAAGCTGCAGAGATGGGTTGGGGAGGCCGAGGACATTTCCTACTAGATGGAGGAATCCCAGCCTGGCTGAGAGCCCCCGGCAGGGTCTTGCTACAGCAGTATCAGGTTGGATGAGAGTAAAAGAGCAGTGGAAGGAGGGCACAGAACACTGGTGGAGACCTCTCCGAGAAGATGGCAAGGGACACTCCCCGACCAAGGTCATGCCAAAGGTCATGAGCAGCCTCAGGGAGGGACAAGTTGCCCTGCTCAGCCCTTCCCCAAGCAGCAGGGGTAAAGCACGTTCATAGATGTCTTGGCAAGTTCAGAGGATGGATAATAAAGAAACAGAACAGAAAGGAAAAAAGAGAGGAATATAAATAAGATGGAGACATAAGAAAGGAGAAGGTCAAGTCCCAGGAAGGCCCACTGGGAGATGTGTCTGGAAGCTGTTCTTGCTTTTGCAGTTCCCTGTTTTCACTTGGATTGTGTATTAATTTGACGGTGAATCTAAAGGCTAGATTATGGAGATTATGGTTTAAACCCCTCCCACCTTCTCCCTCGCATGATCATCAAGTTCTAAAAAAAAAAAAAAACACTCAAACTTAAAGTGAATGAACGGGAGGTAGAGGTGGGAGGAGAAGGAGTCCTCTCTCCATCTGAGCACCTCATTTATTTATTTGCTTTCTTCCCTTGTGCAGGCTTTGTGAGAAGCAGAACACTTGCTTTGCCCATTGTCTATCCCCTGTCTACTCAGAATCAAATAAATATGGAGTGAATAAATAAGTCAATGCTCTACCCAGTTTGGACTCCGTGTGTGGGAGTCCTTTATGCACTTTGTGTCTGCATGCAGTATCCCTGAGCAAGTAGCTGAGGTTTTGGCGGTACCCAGCTTTATTTAACAGATTCGTGATCTCCCACCACAAAATAATGGATTCCTTTCTAGGTGTTGTGATGCAGTGATGGTGGCGATCACAGAAATAACTTACAATTATCAAGTACTTATGATGAATCCTGCACCCGGCTAAGTGCCTTTTAACTATGTAAAGTGTTTCTTTCCTTGATTGATGCCCCAAATGAATAAAGATAATTTTTCTGTATCTACTACATTAGTGATGCCCACAAATAATTCTCACAATGATAAGAAAAAAGATAATTTGCATAAACAAAAAGCCTGGAAATTGCTCTCAATAATAATCACAAGACTTGGCAGAATAAGGTTGTTTTAAAATGGTATGAGAATAGTTCCTGCCACACAGGCCATGCTAAAAATGGTTCTTTAATGGGTGACGGTAAGCTCACGTAGGAAAGCAGACCCATGATCGTGCATGCAGAGGCCAGGGTTGATGGTGTTGGTGGAGTAAAGCAAGATTCCAGTTGTTAATTTTCATTTCCACCGTCCTCTGCCTTCCAGCACATATTTGCCCTCTGACTCTGAGACTCCGCCAGTGTCCTGGGGGGAGCCCCCACCTGACATGCCCCTATGGCCCCCGAGGCACTGGCCTCCAATGGAATAATCCCCACCTGCTTGGTATCTCCAGGCTCCCTGGCTAGAAACTCAACCAGAAGCCCACACAACTCACCTATATCACCTCCTGCTCTTTTCACCTGCCTCCTGAGATACTGAGAGGCCTGGCAAACAAAGCCTGCCCTTCCTGTGGTGTGACCCTCTCAGTGGGGAGAGAAGGGCCCCGACAATCAGTCCCCCCAACACTGGCTGCCCTTTCTCCCTGGCATGTGGTGTCATCATGGTAAAAATCACCTGGCTTCATGAATTCCGTCATCACCTCTGCTAAGTTGGAGCGTTGACATTCTTGTTCCTCTATTTATTCCTTTGTTTATTTCCTTTATTCTCATGATTCTCTCTCTCCAAAAAGCCTGGAAATTGCTCTCAATAAGGTTAGGAAGGGGAGACTTTTTAGGACAGCCAGCGCTCAGGGATGCACTCTGCTCACAGCCACAGGAGGAGAGGCGCCTGCCCACTCCCCCATCATGGCAAGGAGCCCCAGCTACATCCATCCCAGCATCCTTCCACCTGCAGGCAGCTACCTGAGAAATCTCACCTGTGGCAAGAGGTTACTTTTACTCCTGCTGGGGGTGTGGCCAGGCAGCCGGATGTCGAAGAGGGCCTGCAGGGCGGCCTGTGCGGCCTGGCCCTTGGCCAGCTTCTTGCTGCGTCCTGAGCCTTCGAACGTCCTCCCGTCCACGCACACGGCCATCACAAAGCTCTTGGTGCGAGGCTTCTCGGCCACCTCTGAGAGGCACACGTACCGCAGGCCAGAGCGCAGCTCATTCAGCACTACTACTGGGTTCCTCTCACCCAGGGTTGCGGGGGCCGGTCTGGCCCTGTCTGGCCTGGCCTGTCCCATGAGGTCCAGAGTGTGGCAAAGTAGCCGCCCTTGCCGGTAGGCTGTGGAGAGCAGCTCGGTGTCCACAGGGTGGCAGTTTGGGAAGTCCTCGCTGGGTGCCGATGGCTCAAACTCCTTGAACAGCGTGTCTGGGAAGTCGGCCTGGTCAGAGGTGAAGTCCGTGCATGGACTTGTGCCGCTGCCCATGGCCAGGTGGGCCTGGCAAGCATTGGGGAACTGCACGAAGGACTTCAGTGCCAGCTCTGCTGCCCGCATCTTGGCCTTCTTCTTTGTGGGCCCTGTGCCCTCAAACGTGAGTCCATTTACTTCCACAGCCACTGCAAAGACCGGGGCATGCACTGGGCCTGTCTGGGACACCATCCGATACTGCAGGCCTGGCTTCAGCTCGTGCAGCTGGACCAGGGCGTTCTTGGGTGTCATGGACCATGAGAGCTTCTTCCAGATCAGCTGGAGTTTGCAGAAGTGGCCCCCGTTCCCTTCCTCCAGGGGCCTTTTCCTTTTTATGCTGGGTGTGCTTCCTCTGGCCCGGTCCCCTGGCGGCAGGGGCCTGGTTCCCAGGTTGCTCACATTGCGGTTTTCCTTCACTTCAGTGCTGCTGGTACCTGGAGGTGAGAACAAATTAGTCATGACCTAGGGCACTGGCAGGTCACCACTCGTGACAGATACTATTACTAATGACCATATTGTGAAACTTGAAGTCCATTCCTATGAAGTTCTTGCCATCAGTACCATAAGCAGGGCCTGTGAAGTGTGCTCTAAGGAATGGCCTATGATGAATGTGAGGAATGAGTTCACCTGTGGGGACCAGGTGCCCATGGAAGAAAGGATCCACATCCTTGGGGACCTCGTAGCTGAGTTTGAGAAGAAGCAGAGAGAGGGAAGTGGGCTCATGGCTCCCCACCAGCTGCTCCGAAGGCGGTTTGTGATGTCATTGCCCATGTACCCTCCCTCCTGTCTGCCAATACCTCCCCAGAATGAAAAAGACACAGGGCTCTTCCTGTCTATGGGTTTTGGGCAACAGCAAAAGCCTTTTCTACAACAAGGAGACCCTTCCCTTTTCACTTGCTCTCAGGGTCTCCAGGATCAGTGCCTGATGTCTGTGATACCCCTAGCACCCCATGAAGAGGACTCTGCTGGTGACATGGTCCCTAATTCACATGGGAGGTGAGAAAGGCCGGGGTCCCCTGAGGCCTCAGGTGGAGGGGACGGCTAGGAGCCAACCAAGTGGAGGCACACAGCAAACCACCTGTTTTGGTAGATCATTTTGTGGGCAAAAGGCACACCATCCATTTACAAGTAAGAACAACAGAGCTGTGTTGTGACAGGGATCACATGACCCTGAGTATGAGCTATTTATTACTTGGTCTTCCAAAAAAGTGTTTCCTAGCTCCATCCTGGAGGAACAACCCATGGTCTTCATCCAGGGCCACAGGTGCTGGGCATGGCTTCTTACTACTGGAATTGCCTGGGGTTTCTGAAAACTCAGCATACACACCAAGTCCGTCATCCTCTGGGAACTGCACTGGTATTAGATAAAAAGTCGATGTGTCCATGTGATGGGGTGGGAACCATGGGTCTGAATGGACAGTTGGGGATGCTCCAGGCAACCAGGTTGGTGGTGACAGCAGGGACCCTGCTTGCTGCCTGGACTTGTGCCCCTGATATTCTTGCCATCTTATCCAGCTAGGTAAACATTGAAAATAGACTAAAAATGCCAGAGTGTTTTGAAGGATATGCACCTTTGGGTCAGCGGCAGAGAGCACAAGTACAACTCCTTTGGAGGGCATTGTGGGAGCAGTCAATGAGGATCATGAGGTCCATAACCTACTCAGCAATTCTGCTGCTGGGGATACACCTGACAGACACTTTCATGCATGGAAACAGAGATTAACAAAGATGTTCATTGCAGTGTATTTTTGCAAAATTGAAAATTTAGAAAATGCCTGAATTTCCCACAGTTAGAGGAATAGCAATAAATTGTAGTATAATCATATTACAGAAAAATGTATAGCAATTATATCTGATGGACTATATCTCTATGCCTCAATACAGATAAATCTCAGAAATGAATGTTAGGTGACAAAAATCAACTTGCAAAATAATCCAGAGTAGGATATCATAAATATGAATGAGAAGAACACCAACTTTATCTATTGCTCATGTAATCACATTTGTGTGGTAAAGCTGCAGATAGATACCTGTATAATAAAGGTACAGTCAAACTTCCCCCTGGGAAGGAAGGGAAGGAGATGGGATGAGAGGCCAGAGGGTACCCTCATTTGTATCTGTAATGTTTTATTTCTTTTTACAAAACATTATCTGGAGTAAATTTAGCAAAATCATTACTTGTTAACTGTAGGTGATGGATGAATTTAGAGATCATTTAATTTTTCTGGACTGGCCATCTTGGGCCACTTTTCCTGATAAAGCTGTTTTGTTTAGAAAATCTCACTTGTGAATTACCAGATCACCTCCTGAGGGCCTGGTGCCCTTCTTTGGGGAGTATGCCTCTGAAATGCTAAACTCAAGTTTGCTGTAAAATACCCTGAGAATTCTGGTAGTGAGCCGTCCTGTTTTCTTTTATCCAGACTTTGCTATGTTTCTTCTTCCTCACATCAGCCCTGGGTTGGGTAGTAGAATCACCATCTTATAGGTGGGAAAACTCAGGATCAGAGAGGCAAAGTAGCTTACAAAGCCTATGCAGCTTAGTAATTGGCTGATATGATTCAATCCTAGGAGTCACAGATTGCCCTCATCTGTGCTGTGGCTACAAAGTTGATTTTTATGGACACCAAATAGTTTCCTCGTTATCTTGGCCATTGTATAGTGACACCCTTTTTGGGGCTCTTTGGAAGATCATGAGAAAGCTGAGGCCACAGTCTGCCTCCCTTGTGACCAGGTGAGCTGACCTGGTCAGGCAGGACCACAGACACATTTTCATTTATGCCCTTTAGATGTGTTCTCAGGGACTGGGAGGTCTTGTCTCTGTGGCAGGTTGTGAATGAGACTTTTCTCATTAAGCAAGTGGAAACTGAGGGTGATTTTTATAGCTAACCCACAGCTCCATCAATTTTTTCCAGAAATTCTGGATGTTCACATGTGGATAGGTTTCCCTCACGCAGCCTGAAAGCCATCAGGTTGAGACCCGCTGACACATAGGCACTCCCCACTCCTTGGTTTGTGACATTGTTGTTGGAGGATAGTAAAGAAAGAAGTACAATTTCCCAGGTACAAAAGATGCCTTTGAAAATCAGGTGACTTCGAGAGCTATGCTGATAGGTGAGTGTGTTCTTTTCCGGGTGTGCTGCCTGCTCTTAGTCCAGGTTAAGCTATTTGTCACACAACTACAAGTCTCACAGGTCTCTATAAGGAGGTTGTGCCAGTAGGAGGTGCTGGGCTCTGCTCTGAAAGTGATCTTGTTGGATTAATTTTCTAAATTGTGAATGCTTCTGTTATTCTCGTTTCTATCAATTTGCTTCTAAAAACCAGTAAGTTTGGGGAGGTTATTTTACTCAAAAGTGTGCATCTGAGAACTTTATAGTTGTAGGTGTATAACATTCATTTACAATCCATTTCAGTAGGAATAAATAGCAAGCATTGAACCTTGACCATTTTTGTTCGTCATTATGCACTTTGAGGAAGTGTACCATTAAGGGTATTTCAAGCCAAAGGGGAGCAGATCAGATGTGCTGTTGTGATTTTCCAAACTGAACTTACAAATGGAAAAAGGAACAAACAATACAATTCCCAAACCCCCACACTAGATTGTCTGGAACTTGCTTGGAGTGCTCTAATTTCTTATTGATTTCTTACAATGTGGGGATTGAGTAAGACTGTTAGTGTGATTAAAGTGGCCAGCATATCAGATGACCTCTGTTGTATCTTAGAGAAAGGGAGCTCACAGCACAATGCTTTTCCCCTAAGCTTTCGGCATCCTATGACAGCTATAATTGAAGTTTTCTATGGCATAAACCACTTTGGAGTGGGAGCCCTGTCTTAGTAATTAATAACAACCCATAGAGGGTACAGACTCTGGTCTCCACCTAGACCCTAGCTAGAGTCTCTGAGGGGTGGCACCCTTGTTTAGAGAGATTAGCATCCTTTCCATGGGCCCACATGCCCTTTCCCACATGCCCACACACCCTAGCCCACATGCTCTAACTGGACCTCTGAGCCCAGCGAGTGTGGCAAAGCCAGCTGGGGCCTGGCCTCTGGTCTCTGTCCTGGGAGCCTCGGGATGTGAGGAGGCTCAGTAACTGCTCCACAGGGTCTGGGGTCCAGCAGGTGAGAGAGCAAATGATTCCTTAGTCATTTATGCCTATGAGGCTTGTGGGAGGTCATGAGTGAGGATTTTAATAGTATTTTCCTGTAAGGTGAACAAGCAGGGAACAGTCAATTTTTGCTACTAGCAAGGAAATGGTGAGGTGGATACTTCTCATTTGTTTCCTTTTGTTCTCTCCCTGTGTATTTGCTTGCTGAAATTCTCCATCAATTTTTTCCAGAAATTCTAGTATACCCCATAAAGAAGGGTGAGCCATTCCTTCATCTCTGGTGTGCTGGGTTGGAGATCATGGTCTACCACCTGGAAAGCCTCCCACTCCCTCCTACATGGCCAAGGGAGCAGCACTGGCTTCTCACACAGCAAAGCCCCGGTCTCTGTCTTGACCAGCAAGGCAGACATTTGTTTTCACAAACACTAGCCAGAATCTGCTGAGCACCAGTGCATAGGAAGCAAAAACCTAGTCTTTTCTTTTCAGGCCACTTGGGTGCAGTGGGAGAAGCACAGACACCTGTAATCCTCCTGCAGTACCACCTCAGGCCCTGGGAGAGGGCGTGACTGAGCTCCACCTCATAGGGTGACCCTCCCCTGCTGCGAAGCTGCTGGAAGGTACTGGAGCCCAGTACCTGGTGGCCAGTCCAGGCTCTTGCTGCAGCAATCCTCCCCAGGGTCTTCTCAGGCCTCCTACTCTGATTTTACAGGTTAACATTCTCCTCTTCCATCCGGAAGGCATTAAATACATCACACTCCCCTCCTCTGACCCAGGAAATTATGCTTGTTTTTTTCTCCATTTAGCTAATGGGTTTCCCACACCCAATGGTCATATATAATAACCCACAGATAAAAGGTCAGGAGACCAGGAAAGCTCTCACTTGTCAATGTGGGTGAGGGAAGCTACTTATCGCTGCACATGCTTGAGTTCCATCCCTGTGCTTTAGAACCTGAATGCAGAGGGCTGTGTCTGCACTGGGGACTCCCAGCCCAGTCCTCTACTTCCTGTCCTTGGGGGTCTGTGCACACACCAAGCTACACTTGGGCTGTGAAGAGAAGTTGGGGACTTTTTGCTTGCTCCTGTCTTTCCTGTTGCATGGGAACTGCTCCCTGGAGGTATGTCACAAATCTTTGCACCTTTTCTGCTTTCTCTGAGTATTTCTAAGGGTGCCTCTGGTGGATTAGGTGTTTGCCCATTGGCTAAGAGTAGATTTAAGGTCCGGTTAACACACACACACACACACACACACACACACGTGATGATATGGGAAATGAATATGTCAGTTGATTAACTGAAGTAATCATCTCACCATGTATATATATTTTTGTGTG